AAACACGTAACAAATAACAAACAGTAACAATGTATTACCGGGCCTTAGAATGGCCGGATTTAACGTAATAGAATAACCAGTCACAAGCCAAGATCAGGAATACAGAAAGGAACAAATACGGTAAGAACAAAGCCAAAGGGTCAGGGATACCAGATATACAGGAAGTCAAGCCAAGCCAAGATCAATCACCAATAAACAGTATCAGGAATGCGCCCTCGGATAACCAACAGGATGGAAACCACGACAGGGCACTGAACAACTGCAGGTTTTGGTTTAAATAACCCAGTAAACCCTCCTATTTGCTAATTTGGGTCCCATGACCCCAGAACATGCGTGCACAGTGAAAATGCAACGCCAGATGCACATTCACATCACTAGTGATGTCATTGTGGCCGGCGCTATCATATAACGCTGGACCCGGCTGCTATTTTAGGAGCTGCATGGAGGGAGAGGCGTTGGAGGTAAGATTAGTAACCTCTCCCTCTTTTAGCGTGACCACACTGATCAGATGAGGTCACATGGCAGTGCTGATCGGACACTTTGATGGTGTGACAACACTAATCTGGTGCGGTCACACTGAGGTGCCAATCAGGCACTGTGACTGTACCCTCCACACAAAGACTGCCCACCAAGCGGGCAGAACCAGGCTTATGAGGATACTGGGCATGAATGTCAACAGCATGTTCCCATGAGCGTCCTTCAGGATCATAACCCTTCAAATCCACCAGATACTGCAAAGAACCACGGAAAAAGCTGGAGAAAACAGAGCAGCCTTCATACTCTTCCTGACCCACAACTACCAAGGGAGGGGGAGGCGTGGAAGGAGTAGTGTATCTATTGCAGATAAGTGGCTTCAATAAAAAAACATGAAGTGTACAAGGTATACGAAGGTTGGCAGGTAGGTCAAGGACATAAGACACCAGATTGATCCTATGTGATACATGGATCAATGTATCTAGGAGCGAACTTCATAGAGGGTACCCTGAGTCTAATGTGTTGAGTGTACAGCCAAACCGTGTCCCCTACTTGATAAGAAGGTGCAGCACTATGTCTAATATCAGTATGCTGCTTAAGACGGGAAGCAGCATCAGCTAAGGCAGTATCCTATGTTTTCCTCATGGAGGTCAGATGCTCATCCAGAGTGTGGATATCGGTATCAGAGAACACAGAAGGTAAGACAGCAGGGTGGAGACCATATACAACATAAAAATTACTACGTTTGGAAGAGTCATGCGCAGCGTTGTTCAGGGCAAATTCTGCCCAGAGCAAGAGGTCAAAACAATTATACTGGGAAGAAACAACTTAGAAAAACTTCCAGAGACTGATTGGCCCTTTAGGCAACCCCCTTTAGTTTGGAGATGATAAGATGAAGAAAAAGACAGGTCGATACCCAAATCTTTACAAAAAGATTTCTACAATGGAGAAATGAACTGAGAACCTTTAATTTTAGAAAATCAATGAACATGAGTATAGTGTTATATCGCTTGGAGACAGACAACTCCACACCTATATGAGACCAAGAAACTGTACCACTGATCAAATAGACATTTTTCTAGTTTACAATCAAGACTATTCTTGAGTAAGGTCTGTAGAACTAGTTTAACTTGTGCATGGTGAATGTCTATATCAGGTGAGTATATCAGTATAACATTTGGATATACTAACATGAAGGAATAGATAAAATCTCTCAATACATCGTTGATGAGATCCTGGAAAACAGCAAGGGCATTACATAACTCAAAAGGCATGACAATTTGGAAATTTGAGATGGAGGAAGAACCGTAGCAAGATAATGCTCCTATTATCCCTCCTGAATGTATTTTGTATGTTTCAGTCTATATGCATATGTAGAAAAAAGAAAAAAGGTGCTCTGTACCTTTAAATTTAAAGTGCAAACAAGTGCAAATCAAGTGTCAAAAGTGCAAAGAAGTGCACAAATATATGCAAAAATTGCAAGTGGATATTGTGAAAACTAATATAAAAATGACTTACAGAGGATAATATCCTAGGTTCTCCATATGTAATTAGGACACATGGTACATATAAAAGGAGCACAAAGGGAGAGACATAGTATAATATTGTTTAAAAAATGATAGCATCAAAACCAAAGATAAAAATGTAACACAAAAGAAGAGCAGTAAAAGCCTGGTCTAACTTATCCAGCCTGTAGTCCACAACCCAAGACTCAATGATGATGGAAACAGCAGGACGCCAGCTGAATGAAAGGATGAATAAACTTTATTTCTTACAGTAAAACAATGGTCTCCGTTACCACGTGACCTGACGAAACTCCGAATACCAGGAAGTACATCCTACAGTGCCGAAAGTGACTGAGTTTGCTGACAGACACTTTTTTAAAGAACACTGAATTGGACCATTGGGCTTCTATGTGGGAACGGAGACCATTGTTTTACTGTAAGAAATAAAGTTTATTCATCTTTTCATTCAGCTGGCGTCCTGCTGTTTCCATCATCATTGAGTCCTGGGTTGTGGACTACAGGATGAATAAGTTAGAGCAGGCTTTTACTGCTCTTCTTTTGTGAGTTACATTCTTATCTTTGGTTTTGATTCTATAATTTTTTAAACAATATTATACTATGTCTCTCCCTTTGTGCTCCTTTTATATGTACCATGTGTCCTAATTACATATGGAGCACCAAGGATATTATCCTCTGTAAGTCATTTTTATATTAGTTTTCACAATATCCACTTGCAATTTTTGCACATATTGTGTATGCTGACGTTGTTTACATATTTTATGCACTTCTTTGCACTTTTGACACTTGATTTGCACTTGTTTGCACTTTAAATTTAAAGGTACAGTGCACCTTTTTTCTTTTTTCTATGTATCTATAAGTTGTGTTTTGAGCTTGTGCACTTTAAGGTGCTGCTTTACCTTTTTATTTGCATATTGATTTACATCTAATGTAACACAGATTTTAGTATTTTAGCGCCGTTTGCTTGTTTATCTTTTTTAATATATACCTATTAGTGATGTCCCGAACGGTTCGCCGCACGGTTCGCCGCTGACAGCGAACATATGACCCTGTACCTCACAGTCAGCAGACACATTCCAGCCAATCAGCAGCAGACCCTCCCTCCCAGACCCTCCCACCTCCTGGACAGCTCACTAAGAATGCAGCTTCAAAATGGATGCTGTCCAGGAGGTGGGAGGGTCTGGGAGGGAGGGTCTGCTGCTGATTGGCTGGAATGTGTCTGAAGACTGTGAGGTACAGGGTCATATGTTCGCCATCCGTGGTGAACCGTTCAGGACATCACTAATACCTATATATCTATATAACATCACACTGTCTAATAAAAGTTATATTACGAAGTTTAATTAAATTTTGTGCATCATAAGACCATGCATTGCTGGGTCACAAAGTACAGAGCAGCATTATGGACCAAAAAATATAATATGGATACAGGGATATTTAATATGGATACATTTCAGAATACTTATAGGTACACAGAATCTGTATTTTCATTGATGTGGTAAATGAAGAGATTTCAAGGTGGTTGCGGTGGTGGTGGGTTGGTTTTGTGGTGCTTCTTACAATAAGTACCAAATGTAATTTGAAGAGTCAAGTCATGAGATTTATTAACAAACAAACACAATATCTACATTAATTACATCATGGTTGATGCTACCAGCAACAGCAGTCATTTATTATTTACAGAGCATTGATACGTGCATCAAGATATCATCCATGTACAGGCTATTGTTTAAAGTGTGAATTCAAAGTAAATTTAAGGTCAATATAGCAACACTGGACAGATTATCTAAGGCAGCAATGCTTTCATTGTAGCTATTCTGTCCTTAAATTTGAAATTCACTTTGAATTCTCATTTCAAGAAATAACCTTAACCCCTTAAGACCGGAGGGCGTACTATTATGCCCTATTCTAAGCGGCTCTAAACATCACCGGGCGTAATAGTATGCCCTCCGGTCTTTCCTTACTTACCAGGTCGCCGGCGATCCCACGCCGGCGATCGCGGTTGGGGGGACTCCCAGGGAGCCCCCCGCGAAACGTCCAACCCCCTGGCAGCCCCCCTGGCAACCCCCCTGGCAGCCCCCCTGGCCATGTGAGAGTGTGGTCTTTGCGAAGACCTCACAATCACATGGTCGGGATAGCTGCCTCCTGCATTGCCAGCAGGGGGGCTGCCTGTAATGACAGGTGGTCCCCCTGCTGGCTAGAAATAAAATTAAATAAAAAATTTAAAATAGTAAAAAAGTGTAAAAAAAATATATATATATATACTTAGACCATATATATGGTCTAAGTATATATATACACATATACATACACACACATACACTGTCTTGGTGTATTTTACTATATATATATATATATATATATATATAATTATATATATATATATTAATATCAAATTACACGTAGACTGATATTGATTAAATATATATATATATAATTATTGTTATATATATTTATATATAATATAAAAAAATTAAATATGTAAATACGTTAAAAAATAAAATTAAAAAAATAATTACAAAAAAATAATTAAAAAATATATAGATGTGTGTTATTTCGTTTTAACTGTATTGTGATATTAATATATATATATTTATATCAAAATACATGTAGAATGAAATAATATATATATCTATATACATAAATATATACGTATATATCACTATATATATATATACCTACATATCAATAAAAATATTTTTTAAAAATTATATATATATATATACATATACACATACGTATATATATATATATATATATATACATATATTAATTCTACATATATATTTATGTAATATTTTTACATAATTAGGTATCTTAATTAATTACAATTAGCGGGACCTGCCTGACAACCCATGCCGAAAGTAAAGGGAATTTAATTTGCTAGCACTATATTTAACCCTAGAACTTTCCAAGACACCATAAAACCTGTACATGGGGGGTACTGTTCTACTCGGGAGACTTCGCTGAACACAAATATTAGTGTTTCAAAACAGTAAAATGTATTACAATGATGATATTGCCAGTAAAAGTGAAGTTTTTTGCAATTTTCACGCACAAACAGCACTTACACGGACGATATTATTGCTGTGATCCTTTTTACTGGATTGAAATACAAATATTTGTGTTCAGCGAAGTCTCCCGAGTACAACAGCACCCCTCATGTACAGGTTTTATGGTGTTTTCAAAAGTTAAAGAGTCAACTATAAGGCTTGTGTTTCATTTTTTTCACATTAAAATTCGCCAGATTGGTTACGTTGCCTTTGAGACCCTATGGTAGCCCAAGAATGAAAATCACCCCTATGATGGCATACCATTTGCAATAGTAGACAACCCAAGGTATTGCAAACGGGGTATGTCCAGTCTTTTTTAGTAGCCACTTAGTCACAAACACTGGCCAAAATTGGCGTTTTTTGCATTTTTCACTCACAAACAAATACTAACGCTACCTTTGGCCAGTGTTTGTGACCAAATGGCTACTAAAAAAGACTGGACATACCCCATTTGCAATACCTTTGGTTGTCTACTATTGCAAATGGTATGCCATTATGGGTGTAAATTTCATTCCTGGGCTACTATAAAGTCCCAAAGGCAACGTAACCAATCTGGCGAATTTCAATTTCAAATGTAACGTGCTATATTTGACCCTGTAACTTCCCAAAACGACATAAAACCTGTACATAGGGGGTACTGTTTTACATGTGAGACTTTGCTGAATACAAATATGTGTATTTTATTGCAGTAAAAGCAAACAGTGTTATGACATTGACCGTTAAAATGTCATGTAGAACTAAAAAAATAAAACAAAATCTTATTTTCTCCCATTTATATCATATTAAATTATGTTTCATAGCTAAATATTTGATATTAAATGAAAGCCCTGTTTCCCCTGAATAAAATGATATATAATAAGGGTGGGTTCATTTAATATGAAAGAGGTGAATTACGGTTGGACAGACATGTAGCGCAAATGCCAGGTTTTGTTTACATTTTGCTTCGTTCACAACCTGTACATTTGGCTCCGTCCTTAAGGGGTTAATAGTGTAATAGTAAGTGCACATATTTAAAAAACAAACAAACATAATAATTGAATATATATTATAATACATTATCATTTAAAGTGCACATCATTACAAAAATACATAATAAGCATCATGGTACATTGTAAAACCTAAATTTAAAATAATAATTTCATCATGAATTTCACCGCTCAGCAGGCGGCTTGGACTCAGCTATTCACAGTTGTTCTTTCCTGGTACATTCCAAGAGAGCTTTAAAAAGGTCATTAGGAATCCTATCAGTCAGCAGATATATAAAACTGGAGCGGTATATACTCCTGTAAATTACAAAGACAGCTTATCAAGTATTCAATCCAAAGAAAATTAACAAGAACAATATAAAAATGACTTAGTACAAAAAGTCCCCAAGTCTAATTTCCTGTCTTTAATTTACACTATTTCTTCTTCCAAGGGAAAATACTGTTATATGGGCAGTCTCGTTTACAGCTAAATCTATTTAAAGTTTGACTGATAATACCGCTTATCTATATTTTCTTACAAAAGTTATTTAACATCCAAATGATAATTTATGTGACCTAAGTTAGGGTCAAGTTGATTTGTTACAAGCTCAAAACGTTTATTTTTAAAATCCACTTAAGATGCTATTAACTCCTTTTGCCCCGGTCTGGCTCAATATAGGAAGTTAATTTAAGTTTATTACAAAACCAACATTGCATGAGCTTTTTGATTTAGGGATATAAACAGTAGTCACAAAGTCTCTTGAAATGCAGAAATTACAGGTCGTCATAATAATATTCCGATCATTTAATAGCAATGCCTATTTCTCCCAAGTGTTTTTCAGAGATTGCCTTGGTGGATATGGGGTAGGTAAATTTCAGGCAAATAGTTATTTGACATTTAAAACAGCATTTGACTAAGGAAAACCTTTGCCTAACTAGCATTCAGGCAAAACCATTTGACGAGCAAGGACCACTATCCCGGGGGTTCCTGGAAGTAAACTGGGATTATGGAGCACTTGCCTACCTTTCCCATCCCCTTTTCTGACAGAAATATTTATGCTTCTTCGGTTGGATTGTCACACAAATACAGCCCGGCTGGTGCCTGATAGTTGATCCCCAGCCAGCAAAGCAATGTAGGAGTTGGGGTTCTACCTTTTGGCCATCCTCACCCTATAGGGGGCCCTCAAAAAATTCTGCCAAGTACAGATAATGTTTACTATTGTCAATGGCTCTAGCATTCCGAGTTTTGCAGTGCATGGGAGTGGGGGAGTGGACATGATGCATATTTTGCTTTGGAGCCAAAAATCCTTGCATCTGCTCTGACTGCAAGTCAACCCAGTACCAGTATTGAAAGTATTGGCTAAAGGAAGAAGATCATTATAACAAGTAATACATTAAGGAATTACGTTATAATCAGCAGAAGTGATGTTGTGAAGGTAGGCTTGAGATGAGTCCAAGTCGTTAACCAATGCCACAGTCATGCTGCAATTGGGATCTCGTTTCGCTGTGGGTCACGAGCAGTTAATTAATTCCTCCACTGCCTCCCATCCACATGTGCAAATATTCCCGTTCTTGGGTAGTGATATAGTGGTGCTTTAGCTTCTCTGCTCCCCATGCCCAGGCCAGTTCACATGCCAGTTCCTGTATTCCACAAAGCCCTCCAACTTTGATTGTAGAGCTTAAGTCCTGCAAGACTCCTGGAGCAGCATTATCACAAGGCTGTGGATGGCTGATGGGTCTACCGACCATCTTGGCTCTTGGCCCAGAAGAGGAACAGAGCACCGGAACACCGTTGGATGCTTCCACTGTTGCAGTCGCGGTAAGTAGGAGCTGCTTCTGTTTTTTTTTGGATCCAGGTCCAAAAGGCTGTGCTCAAATGCATCAAAAGCAGAGTGGAACCTGGATTCCCATAGAGACACATGCTCGGTCGGTTTGGTGGCTATCTTATGCTTCCCACAAGGATAGTAGCGACAAGATACAATAGCTTGCTCTGGGGGGGGACTGTGATATGCCTCACTGGTCCAGAGGGGGTTAAGAGGCAATATAGAGGCTTCAGTAAGAAGTGGTTCTCAGAGCGGTAGATCGTCTGTCTCACCCAGCATTGATCGCACTGGGCCACAGGATTCACTCACGACCAAAGCTCATCAGACAGGAACACTTCAAGCATAAAGCAGCACAGGCTGGTATAGTATCGATCTGTA